AATATAACTTGTGTACGGAAGCGTGTTATGCTAATACAATGGTAAATTGACACACAACGACTGATAAGCCTAATAAAAATGTTTCAGGTAGAAAACATACCACACGATCTGTACATGAAATAACTATTTTCTAGCTACATTTCATATTTGTAGGATTACAATATGGTAACTTTGGTAAATTTGTAAAAACAAAATAACGTGTAATGGTCAGTGAAAAATGTTTGGCTCTTTTCAAAATCCACTGATGTTAAGTAAATGATAAGACGTTCGTGGTTAATCACAATTTCGTGTGCAATCATGCCTCAGAAATAATGTAATTAACTCTCAATTGACACTAATAAAGCCTTAACTTCGTTTTCCCTCTGTTCAGGGAAGCCTCCTCCGGCTCTAACGTGGTGGAAGAGAGATAACCTGCTCCTAGCTAACTACACTATCACGCCACAAGGATTCACCAGAAATGAAATCGTGTTACAGCAACTTCGCCGTGAAGACCTACTTAGTTCTCTGACATGCAAGGCTTCCAATACCAACCTCACAATCCCGATATCTAGCTCAGTGATAGTAGATCTGTACTGTGAGTCTCCACTTGATGTAAAAAAAAACAAAAACATAATTATAAAAATGCGATCAATTAAATCATTGTTAGCATATTTAGTGAAAGTGGCGAATCTGATGTACTGGTTCAAGATAACTTTCAGTTAATTTTACTTTTATTTATTAGCGTATTTTTACTTTTCGTGTAATAGTGATTTTAGTATCATTACGGAAACAATCATGATGTCTCTTGTAAACAAATTCCTGAAAAAACAATATATCCAATACCTTGTTTGTTTGTGGTTAAGTAAAAAGTTACATAAAGAGCTATGTTCTGACCATCGCGAGTATCAAAGCCCAATTTTTAGAGTTATAAATCTGCAGACTTACCGCTAAGCCACTAGGGGGGACAATACGATATTATTATTACTATTCTAGCTAGTTTGAATATTTAATCAAACGTAGTATTTCGTTATAACTTTCAATTAGTTTTTATTTTATTTTGCTATTTATATAAGAGCGAATTTTAGTATCATTGTTACTAAAACAATTATCAGCTTTATGTTAATCAAAGCTAGAGAAAATAATTAACACTAATGACTTTAGCAATAACGGTAAATAAAAACGAAAAATACTTGATTTGAATTTTGAAATATTTTTTATAATGTAAAGGCTTAAGAAAGTCATTATGTCTTTCGTTGATACGTTCATAAAGTTTTTGTTTATCATACATTAATTTCATAAAGCTAACACCACTTTAGTGCTGTTTTATTGTATCCTATTCGCTATCGTTGTCGAAATGCAAGGGTGAAATAATTGGGCTCTTATCTCAATATTCTATCTCCTAAATTGTAATGTCGAAACTGTGCGTATCTCCAGAATATATTATTATTATTATATAAATTAATCTTATATTTCCGAAAACAGTTGTGATGGTTGAAGTTAAAAATATAACATTATGATATTTTTCATTTCAAATCAAAGAGTTTTCCTCAACCAAACTTACGCGAGTTTATTCGTATTTGCCTAGTGAAGCCTCTAGACGTGAGAATCACCACAATCAACAGACCGCTAATAGCAAACCGACCAGCTGAACTCGTGTGTGAAACCTGGGGCGCTAGACCACCAGCTCAAGTAACTTGGTGGATGGGTACTAAACGCCTTACTGCTGTAACGGACTCTGTAACTGCTGATGGAAATCACACAGTTAGCACGGTGTCCTTCACTGCTAAGGTTGGAGATAACGGTAAAAATGTGACGTGCAGAGCAGACAATTTGCTCTTACAAGAAAGTGCCATCACAGATGTCAGGAACCTTCTGGTGTATTGTAAGGTTCATTCTTTTGGGTATTGTAAAGTTCACTTTAAATGAATTATAAAGATATGTAATATTTCATAGTTTGTTATTGGAATTTACGAAATAGAAACATAAAAGCTTTCCTGTTTTCCATAGTTTTTGACTCAATCTTAAAAGTTTTATCTGAGTATCTGTGCTCACATTTCTTAATGTAAACAATATTAACTCCACCTCTTATCTGAGTATCTGTGCTCACATTTCTTAATGTAAACAATATTAACTCCACCTCTTATCTGAGTATCTGTTCTCACATTTCTTAATGTAAACAATATTAACTCCACCTCT